ATCATCCATTCATGGATGTAATGAATTTTTCATTATGCAGTAAATGAATAAAATTATTTTTTGTGCTGTTTTGTAAATTTGTTTACAGGAAAATGAATGGAAATGGAAGAAAATTTTACACCCTAACAACAACGAAAAAGGGGTGGATTAGATATGATAATTAATAATTTCGTGTTGAGGTACTTAAACGAGGTATACACAGAGAAAATGAAAATAATCTACAGCTACACGTTATTTAGGAACTAACACAATTTTTTCTTTTAAAAAATAGAATCGGAATTAATTTCTTAAAGAAACACCAACGGTAATCAAAAATTCAAATTTTCGCATCATTTAATTGGAAGAATTAATTTATTGACTTGGGCTCATACAGGGAAAGGGGTCTAAAAATTGCAAAACGTAACAAGTAAACGGTCCCTAGCTTTTTGTTGTGTTTGAGTATGAATAAATACACATTGCTGTGTTTGTATATTAAATTTCATTATATCTTATCTGCCCTAATCATCTGGCATTTGAGATAATTAGCTGAACTCATTTTATCGTGATTTTATTAAACATTTAGGAACCGTTTACTGGTAACGTCAATCATTAATATTAGACTTTTGTTTCAGCTTTGTCCATGTCAGAAAATATTATTTTGTATGTAAGTCAGTACAGGATAGACGTCATTTATTAACGACCCCTTAGGGCTTGTTCACTTAATATGTCACGCAATATATTGAACACTTTCTTTTGTTTAAGCTGTTATGAAACCTTAGACCCGCCCCACCCATCTTTACCCCAAAAGCAAACAAAGACCTAATTTATGGATGTAAAAAATTTTAAAAATTAATTTGACCGTTAATCAGTACAAATATTTACACGATTTCATGATGATAATACACATTTGTAGGAAGTAACGTAACATGAGAATTATAAAAGGTATCATGTCGTTTATGTAGCAAAAGCATGCAATCATTATGTACACGTACACAAACCTTTTCATCAGCAACACAAAAAAAATATCAATAAAAAAAAATCCTCGTCCACATTCAATCCACCCAACCCCAACTTCGAGATAATATTCGACTGTATTTACTCATTCTTAATAGCACAAAAAACGAACTCATCTGCAATTAATTATCAAATAAAGTAAACCCTTCTATGTGTCTATACAATGTATATATTTATTTAGTTCAATTCACTAAAACTAAAAGCTTATCATCTTCAACAGTAATTCCAGCACAATGTGGAGGGTTTTTGGGAGAGGAAAATGTACCGGTTAATTAATTATAAATCACAAACTTTTGTAAAACTTTCCCCACCTCCCTTCTTTTCCGTCCCATCATCTTCAATCTCTTCTCTATTTCTTTTACGCTTTTACGACTTTTCTTCATTGGATTTTCTCTTCTTCTCTCTTTTAATAATGACGACAATAAAAGAAAGAATGAAAAAAAAAACCTTTTTGGAATTGAATATAATTGAATTACACTTTGAGAAAGAGAGCAGCAACAAAAAGAAAGGGAATTTTAATGTTGTATTGTGCTTTTCATCATTAGGAAGTTTTTCCTTCTTCATTTCATGCTTATTATACATCTATAGACGCTTAATTTTAGTTAAAGTATTTTAATGTACATAATTTCAAAGTTTTTCATTCTCATGTCTTGAGTATGTGAAAATTTTGGGGGTTACTGATGCTCGCGTGTATAAATATGCTCAATTTTTAAATGTTCGTGAGATTGACTCGCAAATTTATCTCAATCGGTAGCTAATTATAGGTAGGGATGAATGTTCATTATCATTAGCATCATCTTCATTTTGTGACAGGCTTTGTTAACTGAATAATGAGGAACGAAAGGAGTAAATTGTAGATGTAAATTCTAAATGACCTTATTGCCAACTTTAATTATAGTCAAGGTTACAAAAAGTCGTACTCTGAACTGGTTTTAAACAGATTCTGACTAGCTAATCATTAAATGATCTTGAACGTTTTGACAGGTTCTTATTTGGAGTGAAAGAATCAAGTGAAAATTGATAAGAAATTAAAGGTTACTGAATTAGCTGCTAGTAGACTTTTTATCAATAAGATGACTTTAACTTAGATCTGCAGACACATCCGAGTAGTTCAATGTCCTAATTAGAAACTCCATTGATCCAGAAATCCTATCAATAACAAAACCCTCAGACTTCTTCGAAAGAAGCCCCAATAGTATCTCAAATACCAATAATAAGCTATTATTCAGCTATGCCTCGAAAGATTATCTCAAACCAACAACAAACGTTTAAACAATATTCTCGATTATACAAAAACCCTAACGTGCATGCTCCATATAAGGATGTCAAGTGCTTTAACCTTTTGAGATGAAAAAATAAAACAATTTTAAACTAAAGAGAAATAAAATAACTTTTGATTTCAATACCAAGGAATGAGCATGCTAAAGTATTTTTTAATTAGATGAAAGATGAAGGAGCATGAATGTGGAGTGAGGAAGAGATGAAGATGAAACTATTGCATGCTTTGTACTGCAACAGAGAAACACAAATGAAAAAACTTTTCACCCCATTCGTTCAAACTCCCCAAATAAGAACATAACTTGACTATGTAGTTTGTATAGCATAAGAATCTTATACGCTCTGTATTTATTGTTGGATAAATATTCCACAAATTCACGAGATCAGAAACAAGCTAATTTTTTATCTGGAAGGAATTTTCTTTTCTTCTTTTATGTTGTTTTTTTTCCTTCTCTCGTCTCCCTATCACCAGCATCCTCCATTCCATTTCTATTATGCAAAACATGAGTAGATGACTGGCTGGCTCGACCGCCTTCATTAATTTAGATTAATATTTTTTTATGGTCGTGCATCCCAGTTTTTTTTGTTGAGAAATGAGAGAATAATGAGGAATAATAATAATAAGTATGAGGGGTCATGGATGTAATACAGTAAAATCAAAATGTTTGCTTAAACATCAAAGATGAAAGGAAAACAACGTAAATGGACGGAGCATGTAAATATTCTATAGACAATTCTCCACTTGTGTCTATCGTCTTACTTTTTATGATAATGGAAGACTGAAATAAAGTCCATTAAGCTTCTGATGATAGTGTAATTTTTGTTTTGTTGATGGAGCTTATAGCTATCGAAGGATATTGGAGAACGGAAAAGTTTGTCTATCCTTTCAAGGTTGATTGGGGATTTGTGGATTTTTGAATCATTCAAAACTTTATTATTTGAGAAAGAAGAAAAGTCAGCAACGAAACTTTTTCGAGAATGCAGTTTCTAAAGTTAAACCTCGAAATTTTGGCATTGAGTTTTTAACAGCCCGAATTTGTTCAAATACTATTGCATCAAAGATGCGAAAAATTTAAAAAAAGTTCGTTATTGATTCCCAATAAATTTTAATTAATCTCTCAACTCCTTGAGACAAAATAGGTCAAGACAAAATCAACGAGGAAGCATATCTAGTTGCAAAAACTATGTCTGCATAAAAAAAACTTTATATAAGGTATTTAAATATTAATGTAATATCATTCCACAGTTGTGATGTTATTGAGCTAGTAGCAAAATGCACTCAAAAATATTAATTTCGTGTATGAGAATTTAGCATTTCAGAATGTAATATTCACGAGCTACAACAACAGTAGAGATAAATAATAAATTAGCGATAATAAAAATAAATATAAATGAAATTGTACATCAATAAAAAAAGAGTGAGCTTGACTCGACTAGAGATTGCGATGCATCTCAATTATGATAAATAAATGGGGAAAAACTAATTACGTCACACACGTACATGAGCATGTATATGCATTTATTTAATGGCATACTAAAGGGAAAGAAAAGCACATGCATGTATACATATGTGGACATTAAAGATATATATGAATAAAATACATTGTCACAAATGTGCTCAGGTGTATAATATAGATGAAATGTTAAGTTCCACTTTGTACACCACTTTCGTCACACATATACAATGTTAAGTATGTAGCATAGATTAGATTTTTTTTTCTTCTTCTTTCACTCCCTCTGATAAGAAAATGTCGTATTTCACAACAATTTTTATTCCATTTCTTTTCTTTGTGGAAATTGAAAAATAGCAGCAGCATAATCACCCCCCAATTTAAAAATTTATTTTTTTATCACAAACTTTCCATTTTTTTTTTCTTTCTTTCTTTCTTGCTTGTGTGACATATAAAGCATATTTCCTCCCTATTCATAAGTGCCGTGATTTTTCCTTCTTCGTAATTATGGACACACAGTCTCGTCTAGTGTCGTCCACAACAAAGAATTAATTTTCAATTAGAGTTTAACATTTCTGCAGAATTAGCTGCATTTTTTTTATCAAGCATATAGGTACGTTGAATGAAAAAAAAAAATCGAAATGTATCGAATGTGGTGATGATGATGGTAACAATTTTTTTTTTCACCTACACTTTTGTTGTTGCAATTTTTTCCGGTCGAAAATTACGAGCATTTAAATGACAGAATTAAAATTTTTACTCACCAATTGAAGGATGGTATTCACTACTTCCTTATTTGACACAGATTCCACTTTTATTAAACCAATAAGGACTCCAAATTTCACAGATGTAGCTAAGGAGTCTTTTTCTCCCTCAAACTTGACAATGTTTTGCATTTTTTCACTCAATTGTGCACGATTAAAATCAGCCATTTTATATAATTCGATTAACACTGATACTTAATTAAGAATTTATTCACTTTTTACAACGTTAAAACCTTTAGAAACCATTTAGATTATTAATTTTTTCTTAAGATTGAATCAACCATAAAAATGAAGTTTTTCGGTGACGCGTGATAATGTCCATGAGCAGTTTATGACACCTGTTCTTTGGGTGATGTTCGAGATTGTCCAAAAAATTCTATTCTCAAGAACTTAATGAGATTCTTATTCGAGTAAAATTTAAGTTTTGTTTGAATTGAGGATTATTAAATTATATCAATGGTTGCTGCAATTTATTAAAGAATTTAAAGACCTAATAAGAGTAATATCATGAAAACTCCAATAAATTAATCAAGAGCATACTAAATCAAATCAAAATCATTCAAAATTGCTCAAAAATTCACCACATTTCATTCATAATCTAGCAAATTCCAATAAGAATACCGCAAACATTGGGTAATATCGACAGACATCCAATTATATCGTTTTTCTGACTTGTTAAAAAGCGCTTTTTGAATGAAAATTGAAACTCCCATGGAACTGATAAAAAAATGTTATGCGTCTACGTCTTCTTATTTAATTCATTAACCAAAAAATGTTTATTTGTTGTATACTAAAAAGTGGGGAGGGGGTCTGGGCAAAATTAAATGACTTTTGCTTAAAATGAGTTCACTTTTACATTTAATATTTAATGTTTTCATAAATAATATTATATTCATTTTCATAGAGCATGTGCATTCATAGATTTATTATTTTGTTGTTGCTGACAGGGCTAGTATCCCAAGAAAAGTCGTCCGTTTCCAATCTCGCAAATCATTTTACGTCTAAAGTACTGCATATGTTGCTGTTCAAATGAGATGGTCGAATCACGAGATAAAAATTCAGCAAATTGACAGCTAAAGACACCACAATCACTGCCATTTTTCTGTTGAGGACAGTCTCGGACACTTTCTATAGTCCAATCGCTTGTATCGAACGGTATTTTTCGCTTATCCATCGATTCATCCTTGAGATATTGTTCGAGTGCTTCCAATACGACATGATTTGGATGCCCCATCGAGTCATAATATCTTATGGTCTTATTCTTTAAATGAATTACGCTCATACACCAATGAACTCCTCCAACATGCACCTAAAATTAATAAATTACAATGTCTAGTCTAGTCGTTAAAAATATAAGTAAATATCATACTGGAATTGGAATGATGTCGTATGAGAATATATCAATTTTTCGTGTCCATCGTCGAACTCCAGAGTGACCCTGTTGAAGCAACTTGCCGAGGAAGAATGTATTCATGACATGAACTTTTGGAAGATGTTCTACTTGTTCACTTCTTTCTTTTAATAGTTCCATATAGAAATTGATGACTTCATCGTTCAGCCAATTTAACCCGTCTAAAGTTGCCAAATCATGACGTGTTATATTCATGTTGAACTTACTTACAATGACCTAATATTAATAATAATCATTTATTAGTGAATGTTTGCAATAAATTAATGACAACTCACTTCATTTCTGGAGCCATGAAGTGCATACTGTACAAATCGAAGTTGCTGCTCATTTAATTGTGGGAATTCATCTATAACTTCTTCCTCCTCCTCGATTATGATACATTTGTCAGCTAATGCACTTGTTATCGACTCATCGATGCGCTTTTGCTGTATCTTTTCATGTTCAATGCGTTCTCTTTCTAATTTTGAAGCGCTAGATGAAGAAAAACAGCACGATATTAACTTTTTCCACAAAACGGAACACATGACTTTGGATTATCGATTTAAATTAATTAAAACTTATTTGAAATTCAATGAAAATGAAATGTAAACAACAACAAAGTGATCAAATTTTTGATCTCGTCTCAGCGTATTTTTCAGATTTGAAAATATTCAAAATAACGGTAATAACCGGTTCGAATTACTTTCCATAAATTTCAAATTTTGACAATCCGTTACTTACTTGAGAGTTTCCTCATTGATACTTCGATCCTTTTCCTGCCGTTTCTGAGTAAATCTTTCAACAATTTTCTCAATCGTATCATCTTTAAGTGATTTACGGAACGATTGTCTCTCCTTTAAAGTATTAACAGGCGGCAATTGAATCGGAACTATTCGTTCTTTTGATTTATTAGCGCTCAAATTATGTTCACTGTCTCGTGCCTTAATGACTTGAGTAGATGAAAGACACGGTTCCTGATTAAAATGTGACTGATCAATTTCATCGTCACTTATATCCACATAAGCTGCAGGCTGTTTAAAAACCACTTCACTCTTTCTATTTCTATATGCTGGAAAGTCTTTCGTGGAAGCCTGTCGATTCTCTTTGTTGTATCTGCTGTCATTATCATCTGAAAGATCAATCGTTGTCACTGGTCTCGAATCATTTACTTGCTGTATTACTTTAAGTGCTGGATAAAGTTAAAATTAATGATATTATAGAATTTTAGTTTTATGAAGAACTTACCGGCACTTGGATATCGTGGAATCAAGTTGTTTAATAGCTGTTCATAGTCGCTCTTTGTATTCAAGTTGTAGCGACGATCAATTATTGAGTTTGCGATTTTTGGTGCATCTCCAAATGCCTAAAATTATATATTTGCAGTTATGCATTCACAATAATACAAATCACAAGACTTACGCGATTCTTCCCTAGAAAATCTAGCACAGATCTTCGTCCTCTAACCGGCTGCGAAGAAACAGGCTTAACAGAACTTTCGCGTGAGTATCCATTTGTCAAGTTCGATGGTTGAAATGTCTTTGAAATAGGAATTAATGATGGCATTTCTCTTGAAAATGGTCGTGCAACAGGATTATTTTTTGGTGAAATCGACGTTAATTGAACGTCATCATCATCGTCATCTCTTCCACCGTTAAATTTCCTCCCATTTGTGAATTTTGTATAATTATTATTTCTTCTCGTTTGAAATGATTCTCGATTAAATGCATTTGATGATGATGAAGGTTGGTCCTGATCGTAGAATCTCTTAAAATTGAATTCGGAACTTTTTTGACTTTTTGATATGCCAGTTGTTGGCATTCGATATGAACTCAGATCCTCCTAAAAGGAGACATATAAATTGATGATTGTGCATTTTTGGAATCAACTGTACTAGCTTACCTCATCAGAAAACTCGCCGTCTTCCAAAACTGCTTTCATATGTTTTTGTTGTTGATCCATTAAGAAATCTTCGAGTAATCCGTTGTACAATGGTTTTTGTCTATTTACTTCTCTAAAATAATCAATCTCATCTACGGAATAATATGTCGCGTTAGAAAATATAATTCAGTTCCAATAGTAATACACACAAACACACAGAAAAGCGGGAAATTTTACTTCTTTTTGTTTGTGAAAATTTTCTTTAAATAATTCTCAGAGCAATCTTAATGAAAATTGCTTTTTATCGTTTTTATCTACAATTAATTGTTATTAACTGAACAACATAGTTTACTTACCATCACGAACTGATTTATATTCTTTTGGAAAGACGTTTGTAACCCTTTTGTATTTTGGAACTGGCTCAATTTCCTCTCTTTGAAAGTCGGTTCTTCTGTAAGTGATGTTAACACGTAAATTAGACAGTTTTGGACACAAATATTGTAGCTACTTTACTCAAATTATGTTAATTACAGTAGATTTGTAATAGTTTTGGAATTGAATTTCTTACCTTCGTTTTCTAGTGAAATTGTTATTCGGATTAAACAAGTTTCTAATGTAATCAATTAATTGAGACATTCCAAATCAACAGCTACACTTTTTGACACAAAATATACTTTATAAAAGCTGTTTAAACATAATTAACTTGAAAAAATATGAAAATTCCGATCAACAATTGACGCGATTCCGTAGCTTCTTGCCTTTCGATAGTCACTTAAATTTAATTAATATTTTTTCGTATATTTACTATTATTAATCCGTTGTGGAAAATTTTAAATTGGTTAAAAGTTCTGGATCTGGTAGAAAATTAGAAACTTTGTAAGATAATTGTCAACAAATATCACTAATTTTAACAGTCTTTTTAACATTTGAAAAATTCGCCATTTAGCAAGTTTCCTAGAATAGAGAGTAAAGGTTTATCTATATGTCCAAAATAATGAACAAGAATTGTCAGAACGAGCTACATTTTCAATTAATGTCGCAAAGCTAATATTAAAGATGAACTGATGTACTATTCGGTTCTTTTATAAGCAGCTACAGTAAGAAATAGTATTCTGTCACTAAAACTGATACAGTTCAAACTTTGAATTTTGATTTTCCTTTTCTTTTTCAATTTCTTAATTTCCATTACATTTTTGTGTGCCTCAAAACTGTACATAACAAAATTGGGAAAAATATTAATTCCACCCAAAAGAAAGCGCTTTAAGGCGACAAACGAGAGGAAGGACTTTTTTACTGGTTCCCTATTGTTGCTCTTAAAATTTATTTTAAATATAGTTTTTCATTTTTTAACATAATTCACGCGTTTAAAAAATGCTGTTCAGTTAATTAAATCATTGTGCAAGAATCAATTGTTTGTGTGAAATAGTATTAAAGTGATAAGGAGTTCTCGAAAGTCCAGAAAATAGCCAAGCAACACAAATAAGCTAATTTACAAAAACATCCAGAATAATGTGAATTTTATTATTATTTTAATTATAATATTATTAAGTGCTTAAATTCATTAAATCACAACAAAGATGAGCTTAAACAATAATGAACCATTAAATCAAATAGATGAGGATAGAAAGCAAAGGTGAGCATTTAAATTGAGTGATAGAGTAACAAGCAAGCCCATAAGTGATAAATTCTTGTGAATGTGTGTGCTTTTTGGCTTAAATATGAATGAGAAATTAGTCATCGCTTAAAGAAAAAAAAAAAAAAAATCACTTGTTTGCGTTTACAAAAAAAAAGCCGATGATCCTCACTCTAAGTGATTTTTTTTTGTGTGCTGGTTCTTCTAAAAATATCCAGAAATAGACAAACATTTGATCTCATAGAATACAGCAGTAACAACAACAAGTCTTTTTGGAATTTGATATGCATTTAGACACATATATCGCTCGAAAAACATGCCCTCCCTAACATTCCTTATGTAACTTATAACATCCAGCGAATTTTCGGTGTGTGTCGATTGCCTTATCGATTACGCGGTTGCAAATCATATACATGCCAAAAAATGAGAACTACATACATAAATATAATATTATATTTACAGATTGCTTGCATTAGAATCGCGAATACGAGAGCCTGGAAGTGTAGCATGTATCGATAGTTTATTAGATACCGTCACGGCAATAATTGCTGATTGCAGTCATGATCCAATTCGACAGCTTAAAAATATCGAAGCATATACGAACAGATGTAAGATTTAATCTTTAAAAACATGCTGCAACAACAGCACTAAGCATATCTATGTTGTTTTGTCCATAATTTTATTATTTATAGATGCTGAACTTGCCAATGAAATTACTAGGCTACGCATGAAACCTAGTGACTTTGATGTAATCAAGTTAATTGGACGTGGTGCGTTTGGCGAAGTGCAACTCGTTCGTCATATGTCGTCGGGGAAAGTTTATGCTATGAAGAGACTTAATAAATTCCAAATGATTAAACGTCCTGATTCCGCATTCTTCTGGGAAGAACGATACATTATGGCACACGCGAATTCAGATTGGATTGTTAAATTACACTATGCATTTCAAGATAACAGATATCTTTATATGATCATGGATTACATGCCAGGTAAGAATTCATCTGCTTTTGTTGTTTTCTGACATTCCACAAATATTTTGCTGCATTTGCTGATATACAGTTTATTGCGTGCTATTTTTGTCCTGAAAAATGTGCTACTATCATTACATTTATTTAAATGATCGTCACGTGATTAATGCTTACAAAAAAAAATGTCTCATAAGATGATTATCAAGAACTACAATCTCTATTATTTTTCGTTGCAATAAAATCGATCGCGTATTTGTCACGCTTAAAAAACTGATACAAAGATTGAAAATTAACGGTTAAGAATTATTTGAAAAATAACAGTCATTAAAAGTTTAAAATTTTTGAACCGATTTAATTTTTAGAATAATTCAAATCTAGAATGTCCGTTACTAATTCATCCAAGCATAAAAAGTGATATTCGTCTATCTGAACCTTAATGCAATAATATGTAATGAAAAATGAGCTTAGCGACAGACAAAATGATGTCAATAACATACTTCTAAAAGTTAATGCTCTTAAAAATTGTGCTCTAGTTGAATTCACTGACCAGCCAGAACAAGCAATACGCATTTTTCTTTATTTAACCGCCCACGACATTGCAACAGACTCACTATTATTTGCTCAATGATGATGAAGATAAATAAATAAATAATTAAATTTCTAGGTGGCGATATTGTTGGACTTATGGCAATGTATGAGATTCCTGAAAAATGGGCCATATTCTACACAATGGAAGTAGTTTTAGCACTTGACGTAATTCACAACATGGGATTTGTTCATCGTGACGTTAAGCCTGATAATTTATTGCTTGATAAGTATGGTCACCTGAAATTGACTGATTTCGGAACATGCATGGCAATGGACGATGACGGATTAGTGAGATCAAATAGTGCTGTTGGAACTCCAGGTAAAATAATGCGATAATCAAGATAATTACTACTAATTACTCACGAGAGTTAATTTATATTCACAGATTACATTAGCCCAGAAGTTCTAAAAGGTGATGGGGGTGTTTATGGACGCGAATGTGATTGGTGGAGTGTTGGAATATTCTTATATGAAATGCTCGTTGGTGATACTCCCTTTTATGCTGACAGTTTAGTCGGTACATATGGAAAAATATTTGATTTTAAAAATTCTCTTAAATTTCCACCGGAAGTAGAATTAAGTCTTAATGCAAAGTCACTGATAAAGGCTTTCCTCACCGATCAACATCATCGATTAGGTCGTAGTGGAATTGAAGATATAAAACGTCATCCATTCTTTGAAAATGATCAATGGACATGGGATAATTTACGTGAAAGTGTACCGCCTGTTGTGCCAGAATTAAGTAGTGACGATGATACGAGGAATTTTGAGGATATTGAGGAAGAGACGAATGATCGAAAAGACGAAATGTTTCCACCAACAACAGCATTTGCTGCAAATCATTTACCATTCATTGGATTTACATACACAAGTGACTTTCAATTATTAAATATCTCAGGTCAAGATATGCCAGATACAACAACTACCACGACAACAACAACAACTCGTATGCATAATCATCACCATAGACCATCAAATAGTGCTGAAATTATGAAATTAGAAGCAATGCTTCAACGTGAAAGAAGTACATTAGAAATGTTGGAGAAACAAGAAAGGAGTCTGAGGCAGCAAATTGAAACAATAACTCAACGCGAGTCAGAAGTTAGAAATTTGGCGAATGATTATGAGAAAGAATTGGCAATGCTTAAGCATACGTTTAGGGAAGTACAACGAAAGTCCGAAAACGAATCAGAATTGCGTAAAAAAACAGAAGCAGTGCTGAATGAGACGAAAAAGCGTCTTGAAGAAGAACAGAGCAAGAGAAAACGTGAAATGACGAGTAATCAGCAATTTAATGATAAGATTAATGGACTAGAGAAGCAATTGAATGATGTTCAAGAGAAATATAAAACAGAAACGGAAAATAGTCAAAAGCTGAAGAAACAAATTGCCGAACTTCGTCTGGTGAAAAGTGATATGGAACATAAAATGGACGAACTTCAATCAATAATGACTGGACTGCAGACACAACGTGATGTATTACAGCAAGAAGTTGCTGAGTTAGAGACGCGTTTAGCTCAAGAAAAAACAGCGCGAACACAAAGTGTTGAGATCCAAAAAGAGCTTGAAGGGAAAGTCCTCACATTACATGATAATATGGAACGATGTACCAAGAGAGAGATGAAGGTTCTCGATGATAATCGACATTTGAGTGAGAAAATATCTGAACTTGAAAAGGAAAATGCATCAATTGAACTTGAACTTAAGGCTGTTCAGAATCGCTATCAACAAGAGTTAAATACGAGACAAGAAATTGAAAAGACGAGAATTGCACATAAGGATGATATGAGTATGCAGGAAGTAAAGTCATTGCAAGCTAAATTAAACGAGGAAAAATCAGCGAGACAAAAATCCGATCAAATGTCACAAGAGAAGGAACGACAGATATCAATGTTGTCAGTCGATTATCGTCAGATCCAGCAGCGATTACAGAAACTGGAAGGTGAATATCGTCAGGAAACTGAAAAGGTTGAAGTCCTACATATTCAATTAGAGCAAGAACAAAGTAAAAAGACTTCATTGTTGTCAGAATTCAGCCTGCAAAGTTCAGAAGTGGCGCATTTAAAATCAAGAGAAATTCAGCTTGTAAAGGAAGTCCAACAATTAAGAGAAATGAAGAAAAAATTCGAAGAGGACGTATCAAAGATCAAAAATGCTCACAATTCAGATATATTACAAATGAAGGAACTACAAGATCAATTAGAAGCCGAACAATATTTCTCGCGATTATACAAAACACAAAGTTCCGAATTGCGAGAAGAAGTTGAGGATAGAACTCGTTCACTTCAGTATCTTGAAGAAGAGAAACAATCAGTATTTCATCAGTTGCAGTTAGCACTAGCTAGAGCTGATTCCGAAGCTCTGGCGAAGTCAATAGCAGAGGAGACGGTGGCAGACTTAGAAAAAGAAAAGACTATGAAGGAATTAGAAATTAAAGACTTAATAGGAAAACATAGGAATGAAATTGCAGCTAAGGAGACACAAATTCAGAGTCTACGTGACATTGAGAATGATTTGAGCAATAAGGTATCGATCAAAAGTAGTGAAATTGAGGAACTTACGAATCAAAACAATAAAATTCAGGATGATTTGGCTAAATATAAGGTTGATCAGGTGGAATTGGAGAAGCTTCATGCAAAATTGAAGAATGAGACGTTATTGAAGCAGCAAGCAGTCAATAAACTCGCTGAAATAATGAATAGACGTGATGGAGTCATTCCAGGCAAACAAAAAACGAAGGTCAGTGCCAGTCAGAATGCTGAACTTAAAAAGAAAGAAAAGGAGAGTCGACGACTTCAATTGGAGTTGACACAAGAGCGCGACAAGTTTAATCAATTGATGCTCAAATATCAGGACATACAGAATCAGCTTTTAGAGGAACGACAAGTAAGTTATTTTTTAACGTATTTTTCAAGTTTGAATTCAGCAACTTTCGTTAAAATTTAACGGATTTTATCAGTTTGAATTTATAAATTTCGTTAAAAAATATAATTCAAAAATTAATTGAACCGTTAAATTTCAAAATATAAATTTCGTTAAAAAATATAATTCAAAAATTAATCGGACCGTTAAATTTCAAAACTTTTCTGATCGATAAAATATTTTCAGTCAAAAATGAAGCTTCAGATGGAGAATGACTGCAAAGCAACAGAAATAGAGCATCTGCAAATGAAATTGAACGAAACAGCATCACTATCGTCTGCCGATAATGATCCGAGTGAGGATCAAGATACAATTTTTGAAGGATGGCTACATGTTCCAAACAAACAAAACATCCGAAGGCATGGCTGGAAGAAGCAATATGTCGTCGTTTCATCCAGACGAATCATATTTTATAACTCTGAACAGGACAAGCAAAATCGTGATTCAAACTTAATTTTGGATTTAAGGTAAACTTTCATTTATTTATCATTTTCTATGGAAATATAACTAATTCTGGCTTCTGATTTTTTTTTTTTATAAATATTTATAGTAAAGTATTCCATGTACGTTCTGTAACGCAAGGTGATGTCATTCGTGCCGATGCCAAAGATATTCCACGAATTTTCCAATTACTATATGCCGGTGAAGGAGAAGCTCGACGTCCTGATGAACAGAATTTAGACATGTCACTTAAAAGTACAGACGATTTACGTCTTCGCAATACGATAGTTAAAGGACATGAATTTGTGCAAATTAGCTATCACATGCCGACAACGTGTGAGATGTGTCCAAAACCATTATGGCACATGTTTAGGCCACCAGCTGCTTATGAATGTAAAAGGTATGCGTCCCAAAAAATTGTTTATTTGAGTCATTCGCTGACTTCATTAATCGGAAATTCTTTTTAGATGTCGAATTAAAGTACATAAAGAACACATTGACAATAATGATCCCCTTGCACCATGTAAATTACATCATGATCCAAACAGTGCTCGTGACTTGCTTCTTCTTGCCACAACAGCTGAAGACCAGACGAAATGGGTGTCTAGACTTTCGAAACGTATACAAAAATCTGGTTATAAAGCCAATTCAATAACAAATAATAATTTAAATAATACTTCTGGTGATGGTGGAACTAAAATTTCACCGAGGTAAGCTAATCAATTTTGCTTCTAATTTTCTCTTGCTTCATATTCTTCGACGCATTTTTTGCCAAACAAATATGCTTTTATGTTCGCTTTGCTGCCACGCTAGCTGGGTGTGTTGTCTAGGCTTCTGGATAAATTCACTCAGCCTTCATCTAATCGACTTATCATTAGACTTGAGCTCCATGAGTCTAACTATGAATTACTGATTGAAATAGGCAAAAGTGCGTTTACTTCCAATAACACATAAAACTAATCAAATTAATCCAATTCCCAACAGTCAATCAACGCGCTCAGCATATAAACCTTACGCAGTAAATAATAACTTACAAAAGTCAGCAACCTTACCACCCAATTCTCAGCTTAACAAACAAACCTAAGACAATAATTGTCATATTATTGGACATAATTTTTTCTTTTCATCTAATTAATAATATTACAATTTTTAATATTAATTGATTAAAAAAAGTTTTTGAGTTTCTAAGGGTCATTCATAAATATCTGTAACACAATTTACTTTCAAACGGAAGGGGTTGGAGTTGTTTTAAAGTTTGACATCGTTTATGAACGACCCTGTTACCAAATTATTTTCTTTATTCTTCATTATTTCCACCTGTCTTCTGTTCATTCTCGGTGTGGTGACAAAAAAAAAATGCCAAAATGAGTAAAATTTTACGATATACACAATATGTTAATGTTTTGAGGAACGACTAAGGCTTCTTTTACCTGCTTTAAGTCTCTTCTTATTTAATGGTACATTATCATAAACAAAACAATACATAGACACAGTTTTAACTCAAAACAAATGTGCAGCACTAACTTCTTATCGCTTATTCCTTCTAATTTCGTGAATTTTTAAAGCTGAACTTTCTTTTTGTAACTTTTATATGAGAAAAATGATTTTTTTTCCGCTAAAATTGCATTTAATTTATATGAAAAACACATTCATTTAATGAGAGAAACTTACTTACTGGATGGGAGGATGTAAAGCTGACTGATAGTGACTAATTGACATTTTTGTGGATATTGGCTTGAAAATTAATGTAATTTGTTCATGATCAGAGCTTTAAACTGTACATTTCCTTCTAATTGCATGTTTTAAAACTGTACAATTGAAAAAGATGTTCGAAAACCTTACAAATGTTTTTTATATTCAAAACCTTACAATAGTTTTGATCGTTAAAGAGAACCATTCAAATTCAAACAAAGCCTTTAAAATGTTTCTTGTAAAGCCATTCAATTACAAAAAAATTAATATGTTATTAATATTATGCTATTAAAACCATTCTTACTAGGGTTCGCGTTGTTATTGAAGCATTCTATCGATGAACTCTAGTTATTAACACCAGCAAAGCTTAAATTGCAGCTTGAAATCCTCAAAAATTCAATTAATCACTTCCATTTAACTTAAAAGTCCCCCAAAAAAGTAAAAATAAATTTATCATAGGTGTCATCATGATTCATTTTGAACATAAATTTTACGTGTAAATAGTGTTTTTAATTTACAATAGAAAAGTAATTTTTAAGTCTTTCCTTCTCTGGTCGCTAAAAAAATGAATGTTGAAGTAGAGAAGCTTATTACTTGATAAATAATGATGATGATAGATGAAGACATTCCTACCTTAAATTTGTTGTTTTATTACTTTTTATTCATATCACAATGCACAGAAACATTTCATTTACAAACTCACACACATTTTTTTGCCGATTTTATTAATAGATAGGGAAATGTTTTATGTGGGGGATAAATTAGGGATACTATGGGTCCTCGATTAGAGTAGATTCGATTTGAAAAGGATTTTTCTGGAACAAAACACCTGCTCAAATCGAGGACCCCCAGTATTGGAAGCTGTTAATGGGAACCTTACAAATGTTTATGCTATAGATATTTTGAAACCGTACAAATGCTTGTGCTTGGAAACCTTACTTTATAACAAACTTTTGTTTGAGAACAATACAAATGTTTCTTAAAATCAAAAAATTGTATGGTTTTAAAAAAGTTAAATTGAAAAAATCTAGAATTTCCAAGTAAAAAGCATTCAAGTGATTTTAAGAAACTAAAGCACTTCCATCAACAGACTCCAACAATCCACTACAAATCCCCCTCTAAACACAATAATATAAATATAAAAAATAAAAGAAACTTAAGAAAAATATTAAAAAAATTTCTGCCAGTCCTAAATACAAAAGAAATGAAAAAATATATATAACAAGTGCCTTTTTAAACAAAAAAAGAATAAAAGATAATATTTTTTATATGAAAAAATAAAATTCATCTTATTAAGTGAATTGACGAGGCCTGGATGCTCGCGACTAATAACAAATGATCTTAATTAATTCTAGGATGACTCTGCAATGACATTTGCATGCTTAATTGTGATTGTTTGTGAATTAATAGTCTTCGAGTGTCGTCGCCTTGGCAAAACTTTTGTGTAATTGGATAAAATTATAAATTATACAAGAAAAAGGAAAAACGAGAGTAAAAATGATGTATACAACGAATGTATAAATAAAAATTGATTTTCTAAAAAAATGATCCTTTATTATCATTATTATCGCCTTCCAGTTTGTTTGCAGATAATTAGTAGATGTAAGGTGATTTTGAGAATGTAAGTCGCTAAAAACCTCGTTTAATGAAATATAAAGTCAAGTTCAATCACATTGGATTGATAATTGCTATAAATTGTTGAAGTTGAAGCTGTCGAACAACTCAATCATGACTAATTTGTGGCTTGTTATCAATTTTGTATTGCGATATTTATGCAATCAATTATGATTTTTATTGACTCGTTATGAAATGAAGCGTGTGATAGTTAATAAACTTCACACCTATAAAATGTATATAGCAGTTTTGAATCAGAATCAGTGGTCGTAGGCAGCTAATCCAGTCATAAAATAAATTAATCCCTTACATCCCTTCCTTAAGAAAAATTTGGACGAAATATCCTAGCCCTCACACCATAACGTACAACCCAAAACGTAATCGTTTCCGATAATACTCTTCGGATCAAGAACAAACCCAACTTTAATGAGGGGGAGGGGGGGTTTGAAAAATTGTAACAAAATGTAACTTGGGGGGGGGGGGGGGGGTCAAGAAGTATGTAACGTTCTAACTGTCGTCTGTCTTTTAAATTAAATCTCTTAAATTATGAACGTTCAGGGGGGGGGGGGGGGGGGTTGTTATTATTATTATTATTATTATTATTAAGGTTGTGAGTTGTAACATATTGTAACAAGGGGGGAGGGGGTGAAAAAAGTCGTTTTTTTGTGTAACGTAATAAGTGAACGGCCCCATATGCGTTGATTTTTTTCCTCGATTCAACGGAATAAGAAAATGTTAAATTAACAACATGATGCAAATCTGATTCATAATATTCCTTCCATGTCAATAATTCAATTCTGTAAAACAACACTTAGGGGTCGTTCACTTATTACGTTACGCAAAAAAACGACTTTTTTCACCCCCCCCCCCCCCTCCCCCTTGTTCCAATATGTTACAACTCACAACTCCCCCCCCCCCTGAACGTTCATAATTTATTTTATCAATATAAGGTGGAAAATTTGAAAAAATGTTTTTGGTGTGAATTTTCGTGAACTTTTTTTTTAAAAGACAGACGACAGTTGGAACGTTACATATTTCTTGACACCCCCCCCCCCCTATGTTACATTTTGTAACAAATTTTCAAACCCCCCCTCCCCCCTAAAATGCGAACGTAATAAGTGAACGGCCCCTTACTTCTCTCTCAATTTGACGCTCCCTGTTGGCGTTGGCACATTCGACAGTCAATGAACCATTCCAATTATTATATTCTTGATCCATCTGATATTTGCTAAGCCAGTAGAATATATCTCGCTTGTTCCTCCTCGATAAGCATTCCCCAAGTTGAAGCAGATGTGCAGCGGTGTGTTGAATGATTGAATCCATTACACAAAAATTTCTTCGTTGATGTCTCCTTCATTATTTACACTGATTTACACAATACAGAAGAAAGTTCAGAATTGGTCAAATTTCTAAGGGGCCATTCACTTATTCCGTAACGCTTTTAGGGGGAGGGGGGGGGGGTCTAAGATTTTGTTACGGTTCAAACAAGGAAATTTTTTTTTCATACAAATTTTGTTACGAGGGGGGGGGGTCTAAGAAGTCATTTTTTCGCGTTACGTAATAAGTGAACAGCCCCTAAGGTTTTTGGATTTTTTATTCTCATTCAAATTGTTCAAAACAGAACAAGCAAGAGATTTGCCAAAAAAAAAATTAAGAAGACAAGATCCAGTTCATCATGCAGTGGAAAATGAAAAATGATCAGCAAGAAAACATTTAAAAAATACATTACATTACATGATGGTTATGGATTTTTGAAGTGTGTGCTTACTGACTTATTATGTCTAACTTATGGAACATTAATAGAAGTTCCAGTAACATGAATTGAATGTTCATAATTAAAAAATCTGAAAAATACGAAGAGTTATTCTGCAAGCATTTCGTGATCGTGGGCATACAGAAGTAACTCGACTGAGAACTTTAAATTTGATTATTTTGGCAATGAAGACCATCTTCCACAAAGTTCTCAACTTTATGATATTGTATTTATCGTGGAAGTTCGTTCTACGTAAATCGTGCTTTTTCAAAATTGTATTTAATGGTAATGCAGTTTGATGTGCTTAACGTCTCACAATTCAACATGACTGAACTGTTTTCAGTTGAATTAATCTTTTGAACCTAGAAAGTAAGGAATATTCATCGTATTCTTGTGTATAAACACTCAGGAATACAGCACAATCTATTTTCGGTCGTTTTTATATAATTGACTATTTTATGTTCCTGGATCTGAGTCAGATCAGTGTAACAAATTTCCTCTTGCACACCGTATCTAGGTCCGTTCCAATAACATTTAAAGAATCAAGTTTAAACAGATATGAAACAGTCAATGAATTGATAGTAATTTTTTCATAATTTTTATTAATAATTAATAATATCATCCCTTAAAAGACTAAGTATACAGTAAGTAATAAGTAGTAAATCATAAAAAAATATATATGAATGACTTTTTAAAAAAGCTTTTTAAATAATTTTTTAAAGGAATTATTTTTTCTAAATTTAAGAGCGTCTTCCTCAAATGAATTTGACTTTTGTATGATGTGAAGATTACTAGTACTTGACTTAAAGTTTGGTGGACTTTCCGATTTTGCCTTCTTCAGCTTAAAATTATCATTTAAAACAGTCGATCGTCCATTCTTGAATTTTAATGCTGTTGTCTTTTTCAGCTTTAGAAATGTCGTTGGTGACGAGAGCCTCCGTACGAAATTGACACTTCCATTTGAATTTTTATTATCCTCAGTCTTAACTGAAGCTGTTGACGTTGAGTCAAAGTCATAGTCTTCAATTTTCTTTGGTCCATCATCACTGCTGTCTTTGCCAATGTCCACAATCTTTAGATCCTCAAATGCAGACAATAGAATTTCGTCATTTTCTTCTAATGCCGCTGAATGCTCAATTTGTGGTAAGTTATCCTTAATTTCTAGCGTTTCTGTTACTTTCTCAGGCGCTGAAACTGTCCGACTTAATGCTGTTTGTGTTACAGCAAATTCACCTTTATTAATGCCATTAATTCCATTCCGTTGCGAGAGAATGTTTGGTGCTGAAATTTTACGCACACGCTTTGACTTTTTCTTGCTGTTATTTGATGTAGTACGTGTCTTTTCATTGCTAATGTGATTGACTGCATGTTCTGTATTATTGACTAAACTATTTTCACTAGACGTGCGACATTCGTTCATAACAAATGCATCCCTTAAAATTGATAATCGCTTAAATAGAACAATTATAAAAATTATTAAAAGAATTAACAATGACGTGAGAATAATTAAAACAATCTCTAGAAAGTCTGTCTTCTGGCTAATTTCCTGGATATCCTCTTTAAATTGTTGCTTATCATCAACATCCTTCTTGTCTGTCTCCTTCTTACTCTGATTAAGATTATCATAAAGAATTTGTAGCTTTGAATATGACTGCTGTAAGTCTTCAATCTGTTTCTTATATTTTCTACTTAGTTCCTCTAAATATTGCGTCGACAATGTCATGTTCTTTTCTAATACTTTAATGCGATTCGATAGTCGCAAAAAGACACTTTCTGGCGCATTTGAACGCGACTCTTCCTTACTGTTTTTTATTTCTATTGTTTGCTCTATTTTTACTTCCGTAGACGAGGATGGCGATGAGTTCTGTGTCTGGACCGGTTCAACAGGCTTTGAACTTTTTATTTCGCTACTTTTTGCTGATGAATCAATTTTTGGAATTTCCATTTTCTTATCTTCTTCTTTTATTGTTGGAATTTCCTTAATTTCAATTTGTCCAGTTGACTCGGATGGATTGACAACTTCTATTGCCTGTTCTGGAACTACATTTTCATCCTGTGAATCTTCAATGAATGGCAAATTTCTCTCAACATGATTGAATATATTTTGTTCGTTTGTTGAATTATTTCCTTTGACTTTCTCTTCCTTTACATCCTTTGTGTCTGTAGCATTCGAATCTAATGATTCATTGACATTTTTCAACAATTCAGACTCAATTTTCTCGATATTGTTACTGTTATTTGTTGGCTGTTTACAATGCACATCACCTGATATATTTTTGAGACTAACTTCATCCTTCTTTGAGATCAATTTTGAAGCAATTTCCGAAATATCTTCGATTCTTATTGGTAAAGCTTTTTGGTCACTAGCAACAAGATTACACATGGCAGCTATGTACTTTTCCGGCAAGATTGATACAATGAAATTTTTATTTGTTTCTATTGAGTCACTTTTAAGGTCAAAACCAAGAATTGAATTGCATGTTAATGAATTTGTCAAATATTCTTTCACCTCATTTTCTAGTAAATTCTTTAGTGCTGAATTCTTGCACGTTATTATATTATTTAATGTCAATCGTTCATCATTTGAGCAAACTTCACATATTATGTCGTGTGTCAGTGACATACAATTATCTTGAAATTGTTTTGAGCTTATGACATGCTGTTTGGCACCGTTTCCATTGCTCTTGAGAACTTCAGAGGCCTTTTGTACAATACTCATTACCACAGCTCCTGCACGATTCAATATGTTATCTTTACTACTCTCTACTTTCTTATTATGACTGTGAATGTAATCTTCTTCCTCATCGATGTGATGGTTGTTTCTACTGTCAGGTTCATTATCAACTTCAAATGCCTCAATCTCTGAGGTTCCGAATATTCTAAAAAAAGATAATGGACAGTAGTGCTCGGTGTTTGTGTATTCTAGGTCAACCTAATAAAAATATAACAACATTGAAAGAGAAAATAATCGTGTTAGATAAGCAGTTTAAATATCTTATCACACATTTTTTCAAGGCTCGTCGTGATTAGCCAATTTTCTGTATAATAAATTTCGATACTTTATTCGTTTTTTGTGGATGAGTGAGTGGAATTTTAATTTCTGTAGCTAATTGGTTTGTATTTCGATAAACCTTTGTGCAACTTAATTTAACTTACAGTACACATTTTTCCGTTAGAATTTGAAAATTTGTTCAGTAAAACTTGAGTTTATTTCATTTCAGTTCAATAAATATGAAAATCCGATAAATTTTGAATTCCGAAATTCCGATTAAAACTTAACGAAAGATAAAGGTAGTCACTAAAGTTCATTCATCCCAAAAATGCATGAATCACCCAGTGAGCAATGCCACAAATGCGCCTTACTCATCACGAAACAACGCAAACGAAGAAAAGCATCTAAAACATCTTTTCAGTATCACAAATAGAAAGCAAAAAAAGTAAAACTGCAAAAACAAACTTACCCGAACAAATTTTCCAAACAATGTGACGTCTTTTAATTCAAAAACCTGAACATCTCGTTCTGACTTAGCTTCATAATGGCCTGCAACCGTCCAATCTCTCGTTGGAAATCGATTGCTTACTGAAATCGATACAGCTTTAAGAGGTGATGAAAATAATTCAAAATTTGCCAGCTCAACACGTTTCGCTTGAATTGAATCACACAACTCGATAACAAACCAAATTCGGTCTGTACATGGACTTAGCATATATTCATCCTTATCACTGAGAACAGAGGAACTTGATTGTGCTTCGGGATTGTTTGCGAGTATTTTCGCTCCACAATCAGGCGATGCGTAGTTCTTTTGTCGCATTTTAACAATCTGATGCTTTGTGACAGTCTCATTTTTTGTGTCTTTGTTCGACTCTGTAGAATTGCCTGTGAGTTCAACAAGCTTCTTTTCAGCTTCTTGCATTTGTTGTTGGGTCCATTCAGAAAAGACTGGAATTGTCAAATTCTCTTGTATTACTTCTGACTTGTTAATATCGGGATCTGATGACTTATCTTCAGCTTTAACTACTTCGTCATGCTGCTTATCGTCTGTTACGATATTTACTATAATTTCTGTTTGTTCAGATGCAACTTGATTTATTGAATTTATTATCTCGTCATTGTTCGTGTGTTCAGTCGCACTTGGTGGATTATCACTAAAAAGAAGGCGTTTGGATAGATTATATGCAAATGTTGATTCAATTAAAAACATTGTATTATGTTTACGTATGTGAATAATTAATTAAATGAATGAAAAATAGACACGTACGCTATTGCAATGTTTATGAGAGGAGGCAATTCAATTTGGGATTCATTTTTGTCGAGATCGATGATTTCTTCATCTAATGTACTACTGGATCAGAGATAAACAAGTCATTAATATTGTATTATAATAAACCGGTCTTGAGGGTTTGTTTTTGCGCATTTACATGACGTAAATTTCAACATTCAGCATAAACATTTCGATTAGCTACGCAATGTTTGTGATAAGTTACATAAGTCGTGCCGATTTTGACCTAGAAAACTCTTTAATTAATGATGTGATCAATACATCAATAAATGCGCACAACAGAACCCTCTCCAATGTCAATCATAGCCGCTTTATCATCCATACATAAATAGTTACCTTGAAATGCATAGAGACACGATGAAATACACGAGAATGAAAAGTATGTGCCTAAAATTCATTTTAAGTGAGATCCCTAAACATTGCTATCGATAATCTTAATGCCACTATTATCGTTAAACTCTTCAAGCACTGTCAAATTCTGATAAAAACTAACGCAAATATTTAATTATTCACATAAAAAGACACGTAAATTCTTTTCGCTTAAATAATCTCGAAACTGATGCTTCAATGTGTGATATTCTATCTGATTTCCTTGAATTACACCAAAACTCATATGACAGCGACTTTTCACAGTTCTGAACACAATGAATTCCTAATACATCACGATTTTAATGATTTTCTCGATTTTCTCTTTATTTACATTCACAAAATTGTTACAAATACAGACGCAAATTTTATAGGAACCAGTAAAGAAGTGCCATTAAAGATGTAAACGGACGCAAGAAGCGCATTTTCCTCGCGTAAATTTTTAATTTAACGATTTTTTGAGATTCAAATTTTATCGGTTATTTGAAATTCAAAGTCATATGCTATGCAAATGAACTAGGCCAAAGATTTAATTTAATTAAGGAACTTATACTCTCTCTCAAACAGAGATGTAATGGTGCGAATGCGAAAAAACTTGAAGTCTCCGAATGTTTCAATTCCGAGAAAATAGGGTAGCTAGCCAGTCAGTCAAAGCAGAATTTTAAGCACAATGTGTCATAGGAAATGTGTTGAAAAGCGCTTATACAGCACAGTTCAAATTTGAATTTCTAAAAACCGTTATCATGATTAACTGTTAACTGGACCATTCTTATCAGAATTTAGACAAATTGTTCAATTATTTTGACATATTGTAAGTTCATTGAACTTTTTCTGGAGCTCGACATAGTTCTGAAAAGAAGTTGATGGATATGTTTGAACATTAAGCTAGTATAACTCATGCTATCATTCTATCGATGACGTCAATCATCTTATCTTAATATATTTGGAAATTTTCTAGAATCAAACAAATAAAAGCTATACTTGGGTTAATTAAATTAAGGCATCAAGAGAGTTAATTTTGAAATAAATATGAATTTTTATTGACCATTTTAAACTTTATTTGAAAGAACAATGTAAAAACTCACTCACAAAATTGATTGAAAAGTATGGAAAAAAATCATAAAATATGAAATTAATTAATTTTTTCTTTAATTTCTCAAAAATCACTTTAAATTGTTATGAATTTCTTCTTAATTTCCTTTGTATATAATTAATTATAAATTGTTCCTTTACAAAAGGGGGGGTTGTTGTGTGTGTGTAGTGATTAAAAAGAGTAAATCGTATGATTATGATAATTTTTTTTACTTGATGTAAAATACTTGGGCTTCGGCTTATCAAATCCTTTCATCTTTAACCTAAAGATTCATTACATGATGTCTGCAATGTATTTCCATTGACTACAGTTTTAAATTGTTCCGGTATTGCTTGCTCAACCTTTAAAGAAACGTGCTTGGCATTAATAAAGGTGAAATGCAACAATTTGAAGGCAATTAACTTACATAATCATCTCCCGATGGAGTCGGAAGCAGAACATTCATTTCGCTTGACTTAGAGCTGATAATCTCAACATTTAATGAATCTTTAGATAAATACATTTGGCATCCATCGGTCTTATCAATTGAAATTGTAGGAACTTTACCGAGAACCTGTGAATAAAGCAATATGTCATGAAAATTTTAATCAGCGATAATTTCAACAAGCATTCAATGACAAGGATGATTCTTAGCAGTTTTGTCGTAAGTCAGTTGACGACATTGAATGAACTATAGCCAATTTATGGTCCAAATTAAGTATGACAAGATATATATTGCTCGAAAGGCCTCTATTTCAGCTATACGATTCCGGCATTTTTGGAATTTTTGAAACGGTTCTATCGGTTTTGTATCGGTTCAAAGTCAATGTAAAATGAACTGCTAATAACTTTTGATCAGAATGGTAGAAATTAAAAATTCTTTTTGGTATTAAGAGCCTTTATAAAAATCAACAGAACTTTTAAGGGTTTTCAATTTTTTCTTATGAGTGTTATATCATTTTTGAAGGGCCCAAACCTCAAAATTCAAACGCTAATAACTCAAGAACTATAAAAGATATGAATATGAAACTGTGTTTTTCCCCGATAAAAACGATATATCCAAATCACAGAAACAGAATAAAGTTATTTTACAAAGTATTTATTTGTACTTCTTTTCAATATGATGAGTATATATTTCAGATAAAAACTTTCTGCTTAATTGGATCAGATAGCTAGAATGGAAGCATTATGAATGTAATGAAATGTAATTAAATGTATTTTCCTACTTTTTCGTGGATTTATCGGAAGCGACTTTTCGATCCGACGATCGGGGTAAAAAGAAAGAATAAGAAAAATCTAGCAACTGAGCAACAAATATGTAAAAATGTATATCAAATTCAAATATATAAGAACCGGTATTTAACATGAAACTTTTGCTGATTGATTCACTTTTTTATGTAGTTTAATTAACAGAAACTGAATTTGGGGTCGTTCATAAATATTGTCTCAACCGTCAAAACATTAATTTTTAAGAATTTCTTTCACTTTTTTTATAATAATTTGAAATTTTAAGACAAATCTTTTAGCGCGATCAAAATCAGCATAAAAATACCTTCAAAATGATGTTTCACATGTTTAGGGTCTGTACGAAAATTAGGTCAAAAAATAATTTTTGACAACTTTTTTGAAAGATTTTGAAAATTCCAAAAACAGATTTAAATATCAATTTTCAAGACCTTTTCAGCTATATATAGTTTGTTTGCCTTTCCTTGCATTTTTTTTTAGAAAAATAATGATTACCGTTTCAAGCTTGTTGTATGTTGTAAAAAAAATTGAAATCTTACTTTCAACTTTTCTCAAAAACAATGCAAGGAAAGGCATACAAACTATATATCGCTGAAAAGGTATTGAAAAATGATATTTAAATCTGTTTTTGGAATTTTCAAAATCTTTCAAAAAAGTTGTCAAAAATGTCAAAAATTATTTTTTGACCTGATTTTCGTACAGACCTTTTAGAAATAGAGGCCTTTTCAGCAATATATACCTTGTCATACTTAATTTGGAACATAAATTGGCTAAAGTTCATTCAATGTCGTTGACTGACTTACGACAAAACTGCTAAGAATCAGCCATATGTGCAACAATGTGCAAATTAATAACTCATACCTGCATTTGAACGCTCTGACAATTCACAAATTCAACGGATGATACCAAGTTGTCAAAAACAACGCAGCATTTCTTGCATGAATCGATTACGATTGAATTAATTTTTCCTTTCACAGTCAATGTGCTCTTTTCAGACTTGAACATGTAGACGACATTATTCATCTCAGCATTTTCGATTAAGAGATTTGGATTATTCTTTTGATGCTCAATAATCCATTTTTTGCCGTCACGATTAAAAACTGGTGGTTTATCAGCGGGAGCTTTAACAGGCTTGACGGCAATCGCTGGTTTAAATGGAGCTGGTCCTTTGTAAGGCGCTGGACCGGATCTTAATCCCGGATTTTTATGTGTTTGCATTTCAGACGTGACTTTCTTTAAACTCTTTGTGATATCAGCTCCTTTATTGATTTGTGCAAAAAGTGCATTACGGTCATCATTTGCTGCTGCATCTGCTGGATTAAAAACAGGCATTGGAGGGGGTGGGGGAAGTCCAGATAAAGGAGGAGGTGGTGGCGCAGCAGATCCATTTGATACAGCAGGTTTTGACTTTCCAGCCCAAACGATTCCAGTCGTATGATATTGCTTAATATATTGTTGCAATTCCGTTAATGTTTGAATCCATGCTTTGGCCCAATTTACATGAGTTATGTCCTTTTCCTTCCATTCCTTCAATACACGATTCGTATAAAATTGTCCTGCATCATTCATTTCCTTTACGTGTGGTCCAGGAGTTGGTGACTACAAAACAATAAATTTATGCCATGAAGAGTGAAATTAAGTCATTTTAAAGCTCATAACTTACCACACAAACCCATCCGAGTGCCGGAACACTCTCACTGATTGCTGACAAATGATTGAAGTATTTAGAAGTGCGATTTTTCTCGCGGAAAGTCTGAATAGCATTAATTTGGTCGGAAGTTGGTTGGAGAAGTTTTGGAAGTTCGCTTTGATTCGGTGCCGATGATTGACTTGCCATTGTCACATATTTAAGTTGTTCATCGAATGCTTTCTTCACAAATTCTGCATGCTTTGCAACATCGTCACCGATTTTATTTGATAAGTCAAGATATTGTGCTAATGATCCTAAAATAATATCCTCATATGCGTTGACACTCATGGCTTTAGGTTTATCGTCCTTTAAGTCTTCGTCAGCAACTTCACGTGAACGTCTCTGTTCTTTTTCAATGCGCTCAAGACGCTTCTCTAAATGCGGCAAAACAGTTGGTAGAAAATTTTCGTCGGGTGATGTCAAATCGGTTTGACTATATGAGGATGAAACTCGTGTTGGGGCGGTTGATGTTTCGGAATCACGATATTCTGGCGGTATGGTATGTTCTAAGCGTGATACTATTCTTTCTAGACGTCCAATTAGGTTAATCAAATCCTTCGAATCCGCTGGCAAAGATTGGGCAGCTGAAAAATTTGAGAAATGGAAGTAAAATTAGCAATGTGATAGATTAGTTTCAAAATCTACAAAATAATAATTAAATAGGTACATTAAGTGTCACAAAAAATCTCAAACACTACAAAGGAGTGTATCTAGGGCATTAAGCCTTTTGTATACACCCCGATAAACACTACATATGCTAGGGTTAAAGAAAAATAAAATTTACTGTTAGTTGGAGACGATTCATATTGAGAGAAATCAAATGATGATAATTGATCAAATCTAATTCGGTTACTAGTTATTGCTGATTGTGCTGCATCGATTAAATTCGAAAAGAAACGATGTCGTTTCAATGCTAATTCGTCTAACGGAGTTAACGGAGTTGTTGGCGGTGTATCACAGCTCTCACTGGATTTAACATAGAAAATTAAATTATGGAGAGAAAAAAATTGTTTGTTGAGGTATTGGATCATAAAACAAAGTTGCTTGCTATGAAAGAGGAAGAGGCACATAAAAAATTCATAAACGAATTATAAACAGCATGACTTCATTCATGAATTCACCAACAATGAAGGTGAAGTAATGTAAGTGCTTTTAAAGTTAAAAATAATCGAATGAAAATGAGCAAAGACAGTCAAAAAGACTCCGTGTTTGAGACTTGGAAGCGCCTTTTGTTCCTAACTGAGAAACAAGACATAAGTAATGGGCAATATTACCTCTTACTGTTTAAAAATAGTCTCAAGTAGTGAGTGACGGTGCTTTTTGACTGTCTAATGCTAAAATTAGTATGATCGGCATGGAATAAATAACAATAATTTGACAATGGTCAACAACCCAATCAAAGTGAATAAATAAACAAAGGTAGAGAAACAAAAACAGATCAGAACATAATGTACGATGAGGAACGAAAGGCAAAATGTGTATGAGTGAACCGAAAATATAAATAAAATATGAAGATAAATACTCCGTCATGGAGAAAAGGTAATGTAACATGAAACGAGGTTTTAAGGGTTAAAATATTCATCTCTTTCGGTTGAAACTCAACAAGATAAAAAGATTAATTTTTAATCTTAAAAACACCTCGGATTTGGAAACCAGTCAGGTAATGGCTCAACAACTGGAAGTGATCCTTTTCGTGCAACATATGGAGTACACATGTTTCCTCTTGGCATTTGAGCTGGAACTTCATCACAAAAGACATCATCTTCATCCTCTTCAGCATGCAACTCGTCCGTATTAATGAAGTAATCCGGTGTTGGAATGACTTCGGCTGTCTCACTACATCTTACTTTCTTTTTGACGGAAGCACGCGAAGAATCACGTCTGAGCAAACAACCCGGCAATCTTGTCGATGAATTTGAGTTTAATTTAGATATTGAGTCATTTCCATTATTATTTTTGGCACTATGTCTATCACTTTCAATTTCAAATTCCTCAACATTATTATTATCAATATTTTTAGAAATAGAAACAGTATTATTAACAATTTGATTATTATTCAATATATTATTGCATAGATCATCATCGTGTATATTCGATACAGATTCGTCAGGTACGTGACCTTCAATAACAGTAATATTGCTCCCGCCTGACGTTGTATCTGTGCTTTTTTCACGTTCTAATCGACTCTTCAATTGTATATCAATTTCCTCTGCTCGTCATCAACGATTTTTATGATATTTGTTTTTATTCAATATACGCAAAATGGAATTAATGTCAGAGCACATTTATGTTATCATTGAGTAAGCGTGTAAAAGCCAAAAGAAATGAAATGAAATGGAAGAGATTGATTCAATAAACATCATAAAAAACTTTGTTATTCTTTTCTTGTATTCGCAATTTTCTTCTTGTGCATGTGATAGAGGTTCTCAGTGTTTGAGTCGTGTTTGGTTTGGTATTTTTGGGAGATGTATTTTGAATGGATCTGAAGGATGAGTTATGTTTACTTTGTCATTAGGAATCGTGAGTGTCATACTATATAGAGTCCTCTTTGAACTCAGATTAATTTCGATAAGGAGTATGTCAACCTCATTAGTAATGATCTATAAGATTTGATCATCAAAGTTCAAAACCAATCCGAGTTCAGCATACGACTATAAATCAGAAATGAACTCATTTAAGCTTTTGTTACAGAAATCGTGTCTAGCTTGCAGTATTGCGCCAATTTAATTAAAAACAAGTTTATTGCATTTAAATCCAGTGACAATCTCACAGAGAATCCACAATGAAAAGACTCATTTCCCAAGAAACCTCTCATTTGGAACCTCTACACATACAAACTAAGCCTCATCATTATCATGTTGGCCAGAGAAGAAAGTTAATTAAAGAAAATTATCTCGAGAGATTTTCTCTCTGCAACTGATTTTTTCAATTAAATTAAGAGTCACACACATACCTACTAAGCCATCACTCATAATTAGACCGTTGAGATTAAAATTATTTCCTTCTTCACTGCTATTACTTTTATCATTTCGTCCTTCACTGACGGGTGAAGTCGCATCTGTTGCTGATACTTTTTGTGGCGATGCTTTCGTATTGACATTGTTGTTGTCATTTTCATTTGACTTTTTATCGTCACCCGCTTCTGCGGTCGCTTTCGATTCGATTTTAGCTTGCTCCTTTTTGAGGGCTTTTTTGTTTACACAACAACATCCAAACATGATTTATACTTTATTTGATATATAAACACTAACAATGACTTTTTGATTTATTGTGCTTAATGTTGAGTATTAAATGACTTCTTTTTTCGGATGGGTGGATATGGGTGCTTACTAATAAATTTTTTATGAGATTTTAACGCGTAGGTTGTAGAAATAAGCCAACAATTTTTGTGATTGACGAGGTGGTGAGAATAAAAAGTCTTTCTGCATTAACAAGAAAAACACAGCAATTTGTTTACAGTTATCACGATTTTGAACTGCCTTTAAATTTTCACTTTTCTTCTAAACTTCTTCAATCTATTTTCAGTCTATCGCCAGATACTATATACACTCATAGAAAAACAAAATTGTAGACAGCTATTATAAATCTGTTTAGAGATGTCTAGAATGAACATACATTCAAGTTTGATGTTTAAAACAAAATTTTATTTTCGAATTTTTGACTAATAATAGTAGATTCGCGTGTGGTCAAATAACTTCGCAACATAGCATAGCTACAAAGAATACGATGAGTCAGGCAACTTTTATTAATACTTTGATGTTGCAACTGATCTAAAAGATCCGGTCGTGGCATAGTTGCAAAGTTTGAGAACTGGTGAGTTTAAGTAGTGATAAAGCCTAGCTACAAGTTTGTTTGAACGTTACTTTAGTGCTTCCTTAATATTGAAGTAAAATCTTTTGATAAAAAATGCTCGAGCATCTCAATGCTGGGACAATAAGGCACGTTAGACACACTACTCTTGGTTGAAATTCACAAGGACGAACTAAAGTCCGAAAAGCCCCATCCAACAGAACAGTGATGAACAAATGTAAGCTCAACGTGTTGACAGAGGATTTTAATAAAATAGGTAACAAGTACAGTAGTAGAATCATATGGATAAACTTTTGCTCTAACTCAAACTTTACATAGCAACTTGATCAAATTAAATAAGTAAGTCTCTTGTTAAGTGACTCATTGAGTCACTCAGATATTAATATCTTAATTGCTCTATTTGACCACACTCAAAGATTCTGTTTTAAAGCACCAACTTTTACAAGTATAAACAACTTTAAAAATGTTTCATTTCACTCACTTTGTAACTCGCATTCAAAAATGAGGAAAATAAGAAGAAAAACTTTTCTTTTTGCTAAATTTAAAAATTGTTTTCAACATGAAACAACTGCTAAGCTGATTGAACTTCCTCTTGCTCTTAAAGATTCAAATCCGTCTCCTTGACATGAAAAGAACACATTTAATAACTGTGGAATTTCGAGTCTCTGTTTTTGAGCAATTATGTAATCTCGTTTTCCTTCCTCAAACAGTTTTTTATTTGTCCACAAAGGATTCCATTGCTCGCTTTTTCTTGTGTGTGAAAAAAGGGCGGAGGCAGAGTATATTTTCCGATATTTTTTCACGAAAAACTGAATGAAAATTTTTTGTTTTTCTAATTTAATTCACAAATATTGTCTGACACAAAAGAGCGCTTAATGAAAAAAAAATTAAGGTTTGGCTCACATTAATTAACAACTTTTATTTCAATATATCTGACACATCCCGTGACCTCCTTCCTTGTTCTTATGAATGAATATGTTTTAATTGTGTAAATTCGTTGAGAAAATTCGCTAATATGCTTCATTTACTATCTAGAAAATTCCTGCTTTATACAAATATTTTACATATTTTTTTTAAAATTTATTTGATTGATTTTGACTTTTCTTCCTTTAATTTGGCACAGCTAACGAAAAATTTTCTACTCAAAACTCAATGAAATACAAAGCTGAACTGAGAAGAAAATTTTATTTTATCGAATGGAATGAAGAGATATCATGTGGTGAAGGTAGAGTTTTTCTTTTTAGCACTTTCTCTATTTGGACAGCGCGGATTAGTGCTCGATATGGTTGGCTGGATTGGCATTGTACTGAATTAATTTATATTGTGTCTAGACTAAGATGATCAAAGCTTTGAGAAGAATTTATTGGAGATTTGGAAGGAATCTAAAGATTTATACAGTTTACGACGAACTCTAAGTGTGTCAGTTGGTCACGATATACCCTAATCAAGGAAACAAGTAATCTTGACACAGATCAACCAACAAAATTAAAGGAATCTTCCTTCGGATCTGGGTGACTCACGAACAACCTAATTATATGACAGATCAGCCAAGTTTTAACTATAATAAGTGACTATAATTGAGAGTCATGAATCTCTGATCCAACTAATCTTTAAGTTCCTATGAGAATGTATGTTAAATTCATCTTATTCAAATTAATAGTTTAACAGTGAATATGACATTTTAACGAAGAGTCATTGACACAAAAGCACAAAAGCACCAAATCCTTCAAGAAAATTAAAATTTCTTTGTGTTATTGTACAACCTCAATTATAGATTTTATGACTCATTTTTTATTACTTTATAGACTTAGGTTCAAATTGATCACGAAGTTATTATTTCCGTTTTTATGAATCAGCTGTCCACTTATAATTTTGTCTATTGACTATGAATTTTAAGCACGATCCTAAAAACTGATTTTTATAACTAATGGCTTCGACAAATCAATGAAATTTTAGTCATTGTCACGAAAACAATAATAATTTAGTAAGGATATAAAAAAATATATTCAGTTTTGAAATCTCCAAAATCTAATTGTTACCATCAAAAAATGCGCATGATTTACTAATGCTGGTGACTTTTCAACCAGTTTTTTGCGGAGAAATCATTCATAGCTCCATTTTTCTCTCTCTCGAATCTCGTGCTTACTCTCATCACATACATTTTTTTTCATACTCAATATTGAAATGAAAAACTTATCCATTAAACATCAGCACGAGGGAAATTGTGTGATAAAAAGGCACAATATTATTTTTTTTATGGAGAGTGCAGTGTGGCATAATAATAAATCAACAAGTCGTTTCCACACCTCGATGAGCAAAATTATTAAAGATTAAATTTTTATCCAAGCAATTCAAGAAGCTACAATATTATGATATGTATGAATTTTCCTCGCCGTGCCTTGTTGTTTTGATACCTGAGCATTAGAGCGGATACAAAGTATGTAAATAATTTTCATGGACATTATAAATATTGTTTTAGTGCTCATAAGTGACTTTCTTATTTTTACAGCAAATCGTCTTTTTTTCATGGCTAGTACATATTTGCCGTAAGTCTTACTGCCTCACATTTATGTGAATGCTGTTCCATTAAACTTACATTAGACATGAATTTTTCATTAGCGGTGCTTTAAAAAAGTAAGAATAAATTTTATGCAGCATTATGTCACATCTACAGAGAAATTTACTGTAAACATGATAAATAACTATTGATATTCTTATCTCCTCGACTTTATAGCTGATCAGGGGCGTAGCCAGAAAATTTTAAGGGTGGGGGGCCCATTTTCGAAAATTAAAAAAATTGTTATTTTGTATCCTTAAATCTATATTCATTCTTCATAAGTTTAAATATTTAATTCATTATTCATACATTAAATTTAATTTTTCGTGCTGATTTTGACATTTCTTTCATCACTTCCTCTATATTAACTGGTTCTTCTCTATAAATACTTAATAAAACAATTATCAGATTTTCCCCCTGGCTACGCCCCTGTAGCTGATAATAGTTAAATCAGCGATGACTTCAACGATAAAACTGCGCTTTTAACTAGACAGTAATAAGCTCTCATCCAACAATTATTGTGGAAAGAAATTTGGCTCTCTCCACGTCTCTCATCGCGCAGCATCAGTAGCAAATCGAGAAAAAACAATAATTTGAGCTGTCCTCATAATATGGAGGAGAAAATATTTGTGTCAGTACTTTATCACAATTGATAAGTGATACAAATCATAGCACATAAAGAAAACGTTATTTATGGATTCTTTCAAGACGAATGAATGTAAAGGAAGATAAAATAGAAACCAAAAGTGCGTGCTTATAAATTAAAACTAGGCTGATGAATTTTCCATTACAATTCTTTCTCTTCCTATGTGGTACACTTGTTCAACATACAAGATTTAGAGATTGTGCTAAAAATAATTTTCCGGTGTGTAAGCGTGCGATATCTAATATAACTATAATTATAAGATATGTCTTCTTTAGCATTTAATCCCGATTACGTAAGACATGAAAGAATTCTTGAAGAGAAGCAAATGGTGATGTCAGGGCGCTTCGTTAAGTCATTAATTATCCGATAAAAATAACATCTGCTTATGATGTAAATGCTAATTTTCTTAATTAAGTAAGCACATAAGTATGGATAATTTCAACGGGTTTTTCAAATTCAAATTTTATACTCAACTGAAATGAAATGATCTTTTCAACGAAACTAGCTGAACGAACAATTAATATTTAAATCTTAAGATACAGTTTGAAAATTAATTATTCCAAAAATCACTTCAAGCATAAATAATATTTCAAGTGCAGCATACGTAAAGAAAATCATCCAGAAAATACACTTGTTTCGCAATGAAAAGCGCCCGAAACGAACAAAAATAATCTCCACATGAATGTGTTTATTATCAAAATTCGATAAATCACAAGTCCGTAAAAAATGTTATTCATTCTTTTGGGGCGTTGCCGGTTATTTTATAGACTAAAACTTATTCATTAACGAATTTTTTTTATAGCCTTTATGCAACTATATTGTTAATTGTGGTGAATTGAGTCTTTTGTACTCTTTATTTCAATTTATACCATTTATGGTGATGGGAAAGAATCTTCATGTATACGCAGGTCTACGTTATATTGAAAGTAATTGGACTGTCTGAATGTCAAGGATATTTTTGAGGTGAATGAACCTTCTGCAATTGATGATACTTAATTACATTGTTGAAAGTAAAACTAGCCGATAGAAATAGAGAAGATGACGACTTTTCCTGTATAAAATGATTAAAAATATCTCTTCGGAACTGACTAAGTTGCAGAATAATAAAAATAGCAATGTTGTAAGCGGCGAATGACTCATAATAAATTGAATGAATCAGGACCTATAGAAAGCTATTAATTCAAGTTGATCCGATAGATTTAATG